CTTGCAAGTTGTTTACCCTCCTCTCTGCTTGCAAAGACCCAGCTGTGAGATGTTTTGTGACAAAGACCCTAATAAAAGGGATACAAAATGCATGCATTCCGGAAGCTCAAAATACTGCCCTGATTCATCTTTTCAGTACACACACATTATTTACATCTCAAGTGTCTTAATTTTTTGAAGCTTTTATTTGCAGCATAGGAAGGTGAAAAGCAGCAGACTTGTAAGTAGGAAGAGCTAGCTTTGGAACTAGAAAATACCACATTGAGAAGCCTATTTATTGATCCCCTTAGCAGTGTCACAGTGCCAAAGTAAGGCATGATGACAGCAGCATCACATGGCTAAAATAGACATAAATGTCCTCATCCGAACACTTCTTGTCATTCAGTGAAGGTCATTAGTGGGCATCTGGCTTTGCAATAAGCCTGAAACTTCATTTAATTCTAATAGAGAGAGCAGATCACTTGTAGCCAGAACATTTCCTTTCAAAACAGCAAATTAGTGTGACAGGAAAAAACTTGAACTGATTGCAAAAGTCCAAAATATCATTAATAAGTTCCACAAAACTTCACATACCATACGGTTGCTCTTCACTTTTCTAATTGCACGGTGTGTCTGTACAAATCTCCTGAAAATAACTTTGCGTTTGGGATGTCAACTATAATCCTGCCTCATTCCTGGTTGGATGGAGACCAAATCCTTAAGAAAGAGTTTGCAATGCCAAAGGAACCAAGCATACGGTAATTTTCCAAGCACCTCATAATCCATGACTAGCAGAATTTGAAATATTTGTTACATTAAATTGGAACAAATGAAAATCAACCAGTGGATCCCATTTACCACTGAGACAAACATGAACTGCCATGGGAGGTGATAAAACTTTCACTGATTTTTGTTGCATTTTTTGTATGCATTTTTTGTTGTCTAAACTGGATCTTTGGATTGCCCCACTTGGAATTCCTTAGCCTGGCAACATTCTGGATCAGTTTTCAATTGCCCTTCATACTCTGAGTAGAAGGGGCAAATAATTGCCCCCATGCAAGCTTCTTACTCACCCCCCCCCCCCCCCAATCCTATGCTGAGCTGAATTCCCTGCACCTGAAATGCTGAAAAAAACAAACAGAAAGTTTGCTATGATTTCAACAAATACAGCTCATCAGTTTCCCAAACATGCCACAACACAATTGGCTCTGAAGCATGGAGGGGACTGTAGATCTTAGTAAAATAAAGCCAATCTACCAGCAGTATGTGAGCATTTCATTTTTCAGCATCTTGAAACATGAATTCTCTTTAAAGCTATGTTTTATGAGTAGTGTTTTAATCGCAGCTCTACTGCTTCAGGACATAAGTAAAGGACCATGATCCTCATACATAAAATCTTACTTCACACAGCAGGAAATGGCTTCTGTAGCCAGACCGATTTCAGGACCCTAGCCCAGCATCCAGCTCTCATCTCACACCAACTTCTCATATTCTGTGCCCAATTGCATGTTCTTTCCACAGACCTAGTGATGGCTGAGAATGGAGAGGAAAAAACAGCTGTATGAAGAGTTTTTCTGAGCCAGTTTGCTGAAGCATATAAAGGTATAACTGTCTCTGAGGGGAATAGACATTTTACCTTGAAGAACCTCTGTGGAGAAACTGAAACAAACCTTTTACCAAAGGATGCTTAAGCTCTGAATCGTTTAGTTGTCTGAAAGTGAACTAAATGAGCTGGGAAGACAGGAGCCAAAACCTGAGGTGCTTGTGTAGTACAGCATCTGCATCTTTTGCAAGATGTTTCTTATCAAAGAGAGTACTTCAAGACTGCTTTGAAGTGAACTAAACATTTCAAGAGAGACTATGATTTCATCTGTATGGAGAATTTCTACTATACTGGTGTAAATAAAAAAAAATGCAATCTCATCCTAGTCTGGATGCAGCTTAATAAAGCTATGAGGCTATTTATATTTGTATAGCACGTTCTGTCATGGAAAGAGGAATAATTTGTCCCAGTAAATATTACTTCTATACATACATAACTGTGTTTACTCTCTGGGTTGTATTATAATACTATAACTACGCTAGTAAAAGAAAAATTACAACTGTAAATTGCATTGTAATGCTGGTTTCAAGATCATACATGGATGAGGTACTACTTCAGGAGGCTCTAGGCCTCCTATGTGGTTCCGTTTCCTGATTCCTCACAGTAGCAGTGGGAATTTACATCATCTCAGCAACATCTTTTGACTTTTCTCTTTCTCTCCTGCCCATACTTGTTTCCTCGTTTCCTATAGATTAGTCATAAGTGTGAAATCTGTTTCTCAGGTGCTTTACACAAATCCTAGACAAATGAGCCCCTATAACCCTGTGCAAAGACAGCTTGGTAATTCAGGTTTTAGGAGCTAAGTCCAGCTGAGCTACTTGCAGACTGGTAAAGCAGTCAGAGAGACTACTGAACCAGAGGGATGAAGCTTTCAAAACAGAGTTTCAGTCTGTTTTTAAAAGGACATGACATAGCATACTCAAAAAAAGCACAGGTTTTCACTCAGGCATCTGGCCAAGGACTCTCAGAATACCAAACCTGTGTCTTCTTTATACCCCCATTTCTAGTGATTTGTGTGATTGCCTCAGTAGAGTACAAATCTTTTTCTCTCAGATTCATTTCAGAGAAAGAAAAGAAGAGAAGAGAAGAGAAGAGAAGAGAAGAGAAGAGAAGAGAAGAGAAGAGAGGAGAGGAGAGGAGAGGAGAGGAGAGGAGAGGAGAGGAGAGGAGAGGAGAGGAGAGGAGAGGAGAGGAGAGGAGAGGAGAGGAGAGGAGAGGAGAGGAGAGGAGAGGAGAGGAGAGGAGAGGAGAGGAGAGGAGAGGAGAGGAGAGGAGAGGAGAGGAGAGGAGAGGAGAGGAGAGGAGAGGAGGAGGGAGAGGAGAGGAGAGGAGAGGAGAGGAGAAGGGAAGGGAAGGGAAGGGAAGGGAAGGGAAGGGAAGGGAAGGGAAGGGAAGGGAAGGGAAGGGAAGGGAAGGGAAGGGAAGGGAAGGGGAGGGAAGGGAAGGGAAGGGAAGGGAAGGGAAAGGAAGGGAAGGGAAGGGAAGGGAAGGGAAGGAAGGGAAGGGAAGGGAAGGGAAGGGAAGGGAAGGGAAGGGAAGGGAAGGGAAGGGAAGGGAAGGGAAGGGAAGGGAAGGGAAGGGAAGGGAAGGGAAGGGAAGGGAAGGGAAGGGAAGGGAAGGGAAGGGAAGAAAAGAAAAGAAAAGAAAAGAAAAGAAAAGAAAAGAAAAGAAAAGAAAAGAAAAGAAAAGAAAAGAAAAGAAAAGAAAAGAAAAGAAAAGAAAAGAAAAGAAAAGAAAAGAAAAGAAAAGAAAAGAAAAGAAAAGAAAAGAAAAGAAAAGAAAAGAAAAGAAAAGAAAAGAAAAGAAAAGAAAAGAAAAGAAAAGAAAAGAAAAGAAAAGAAAAGAAAAGAAAAGAAAAGAAAAGAAAACTTGTGTTAGAAAACTCAAGTTCCTAGGTGCAGGAATAAACACATTCTGTTACTGAGTCATTAAACATGCAGGCTAAAGTGCTTGCTGACCCCAGCTTTTGGTCCTGCCTCTCTCAAAGCCTGTGAGACAACTTAGCTCCGCATAAAACAACTCCAGGGGCTTATGGCTCCTTTATCAAGGTAACCCCAAACTAGCACCGGTTTAATATGTCAGGCTACAAACTGCAGTGGTTAAGGATCAGCTTCATGTGCAATTCCACAACTTCTGAGAAGGCACTGAGTGAAAAACTAACTGGAGGCAGTTATTGATTCAGCTGTCTGCCCTTAATTAACTTATATTGATGCCCCAACATCACTGGGATAAAATATGGATTAACCCTGAACCCAGGGTTAGTTCTAAATGACAGATTAAATCTTGAACTAGACCCTCGCAAAACTCCCTGTTTCTCTCTCTAACAGCTCACATTTCAGTTTCTGGTGTGTTGGTTGGAATGACAGCCCTTTCCACATTTAACTGCACTGAAACATGAAGCTGTGTGAGGGATTTTTTAGACAGTTCTGAATGAGTGGGGACCTGTGAGAGCCATCTCTGGTGTGCGATGCTCCATAATAGCACTGAGGACATAGCACTGCTGATCCAAAGGTTTCCCCACACAGTGTAACATACTTCAGTATTTTGAAGCAGGACCACTGAAACTAAGTTTTGTCATATCAGGATGCATTTATGAAAATTTTATTAATGATTAAAAGATACTTACTCATAACAGATTATTAGAATACAACTAGCTGTTTGAAGGCATCTAAAACAGATGTTGGATGTGTCGTTTATAAGTACTGAAGTGCTTTTAGACTGTACGTGGGGATTGGAAACAGCCAGTATGCACGCATGTGCATGTCTTTAAATCTCAGCTTTCATTTAATAAAGTAATAAGTTTCTTGCACTTACAGTTATGAAAAAAACCTGGCAATATGAGCAGAATGTAACCAAGACAGAGGTGGCAAAGAGATGTCGGGAACAACAGCCCCGAAAAGCGGTAACTGCGCCTGCCAGCATCTGATCACCCAGTGATGCCTTTAGTTCAACAATTTAACAAAGAGCATGATAGATAGACACATTACTGTGACAATTTAATTTCTCCAACAAAGTCAGTGAGAGGTTCTATTACCCACAGCAATCCCAGTTAAAAGCTGCCCCACAAAACTCGGAGCCCAACACCAAATAAAAGAGATCCAAATGCAGAGAGCCCTCCAAAGTCCACAGAGACACTGTCCTGCTTCAAGCATCTTGTGCTTTACTCTTCCTCTGACCATATAGTCAGGAAATGGAAATCTTTGGAAGACTATCACTGTCTTTTTCCACCCCCCAGCTTACAGCACATACTGTTCTTAATCAGGAATGCAGTCATATCTATTAGGCAATAATAAGTGCACTCCTCACATAATGTGATCTTAATGTGTGTGTGTAGCTGCAGTGTTTGTATTTACTCAGGGCTCAGTGTTCTTTTTTCGCTTTGGTGTAAATAAGATCATGACCATTATCATGACTTAACCAGCTTGAGACCATGTTACATTTGTAAAGGTTGTCTACCCTTCCTTGAGTCTGGCACTGCACAAAGTGCAGGCTGTTTTCCATACATTTTATCTTCAAAGTTAAAACAGGAGATTGGGTGCTTATTAGTGGCAAACAGTGCACTATTCAGTGCTGGTACAGCCTCTGTAGAAACAACCTGTCCCAGCTGAACTCAAAATGGAATTAGGAATTTCAGATGAGATGTGAGAACAAGGGAGTGCCTTATGCTACAGCCAGCTTAAGTATTAAACACATTTCGTAAGCAAGGAGTACAGCCAACCCTATCACCACACTTTTATAAAGCTGACCTCAGTCAGTCCCTACTGAGATGGGTCTATGTGATTTTGTCTCGTAGCTGCTGAAGAGAATCTCTTGAAGCTTCTTGTTAAGTTCTTTTAAAGAGACATGTCACAAACTGGACTTAGGATTTTTCTACTCATCAGCATACTGCTGCTGGATCAAACCATCAGCCAGGCTTCCAAATTCAAAGCCAGGAAGCACAGCAAGCGTAGAGTGAAAGGTACTGGGTTGTAACTGGGAGGAGGGATAGAAGCTTACAGACTGTGCAACTTTACTATATACTTCAATAACATTGCATGAACCAGAAACTGTTAGACAAATGCTTATTAGCAAAGGACATTTGAGTCTATCTTATATCAGTCTTAAAATATTTTTATGTGAGTTAGCAAAGCCAAGAATAGGGTTCAAGAAAGAGTTATGTAAATTGAGCTGTATAACAGTTGTAAATATCATGCTCTGTTGTGCCTATTCATCTCTGTCAACATTATTTAGGACTGACAGGTACAGCTCAGAGACGACTCTGGGTGATCATTTTTAGTTACATAGTTATAGTGACTAAGATCAGAAGAATGGAAATTCATATACATATGGTAGAAAAGAACAGAATAAAATATTCAGTCTTCAAGGGTTATTGTTCAGATTTTTGTAGCCTTGCCTAATTTTAACAGAATGTGTCTCTAATATTTGGGGAATATAACTCTACCTGTGTGAAAAGAACTGTGAAATGGCAAGTCAAACTAATGAAAAATAATTAGCAGAAAACAATAAAGCATAAATTCCCAGAGCAAAGTTTACAGAGCAAATACAAAACTGATGAGTGTTTTTTTGAAAATGTCTGTGTATTTAATTTAAAGACTTATTTCTAATAAAAGAGGGTATGGTGAAGGTTACACCAATGGCAAATATTTAAGCTTCTAGTCAATGAAAAAACCCACAGCTTTGATAAAGCCTTTGTACAATGCACAACACGATTACAGATCTCTGGGGCTATACAGTTTTGATCTGGAAACAATTTGGCAAAAGAATGGAGTTCCTGAGGACAAGTTTCCCATTATTTTTGCGGGGGGATGAGAAAAGGTCTGCATTAGTGTCCCACTATGAAATGTTTGTACCAGGAGCTCACCATGTTCTGGTTTTGCCTCTTTTCAAACAGACGAACATGGAAGGGCTCTTGTGAACTAGGACTTGCAGGGAGTATCACGGGCTGAGGAACTGGGAGTCCTGCCTTGGGGAACCAAGGAATCATGAAGGACAGCTGGGGTTATCCCCAGAGGCAGTAGGGAATATGGATATGAGCTTTCTGGGGTGCAGCTGGAGGATTAGATGATGTAACATAGATCTGTAGGAACTGTGGCTTTGTTAGTTCTGCGATGTGTGAAAGAGCTTATTTATTCCTCATGTTCATTACTGTGGCTTCTGAAAGGTCTGGTTACTGCTGCAATCAAATTGTCATCTTGTGCAATGGGAACATGCCTGCTAGTTGTTTGATGGTGGTAGAAAATTATAATGATTAAGAAAAAAGAATTGAAAAGATGACATGAAAATAGAGTTATGTGCAAATTAGCTTCTTTTCTTGTCTCACCATCTTCCTGATGCTTTTGTAAGTGCTACAAAATGGTGATTCAGACTACATTTGTGTGACTTAAGTCACCAAGCCCTCTCTGTACTCATGGAGAGAGAAAGGCTCCTCCTGGGAAGGAGAAATTGCAGCTCAGCAAGCTTGTCTGCATATATTTGGACTGTGAATTTTGGTTATATTAGCTGTTCACTGTGTTAAAACAAGAGTTCTGTGAAACTTTCATCCTTTCAGAAATAACATTTCTTCGAATAAAGACAACTTGTGGCCTGCTATGATTTGTGTCATATATATACACCATGGGGTACAGGTTCAAATCTAAATAGGCAAATTTTGCTGTAAATTACATGTTGGCATGCTAAATAACAATTAGCTACACAAATCCATGGTTTTCAAACAGGTACCAGGGTAAAGTTCAGTTGAAAATGAGATTTAAATTATGAGGGTAAAACGTGAAGGTGAGGTCCTCCTGGTTTTTTTTTATAGGAACCCTACAGGAATCATTTCATTAATGAGAAACCTTGAACAGAAATCAAAACATGTCTCAGCAATGCAAAAATATTATGATATTATGAAACAGCTTTTAACATACATTTTTTTTAAATATTCTTTGTGTACATATCTGCTCATTTCTCTACATTTCTTTTATTTAAGAAAAAGATGACCTAAAGACCCAGATTGACAAATTGTGGCGGGAAGTAAATGCTTTGAAAGAAATGCAAGCTCTTCAGACAGGTAAAGCATCTTACATGGTCAATGGCTTCCACAAGTTACCACTGCCTCTCCACTCTCCTTCACTCCCATCCTTCTCTTTAATGGCGATTTGTGACTGAGAGATATAACTCCTTAAGAGCATGGTGTGCCATAGATGTAATGGTGAGACAAACGCTGAAGGAAGCAGTCAAGTAAAGTGTGACTAAAGATGCACAAGTGATAATTCTTCAATAAGAACAGGAATTAATCTGGAGCAAGAACTATGATAATCTTTGCTATGCACAACCCCAAGATGTGATTTTTAGGTATATCCAGACAAAGATAACACAATGAGGGTTACTGGGTTTGAGATTTTAGATGGTCAGTGAGCTAAGTCCCCTTGGATACAAATACAGGCTAACTAGCAAGGCAAAAATATTCATGGAAATGACTGAGAATATCCCCAAAAGGAAGCTAAAAGGACTGAACCTTTTTAAAGTGTGGAGTTTGCAACATTCAAAAGTGAATGTTACCATAAAACTTCACAGTAATACCCACTGTGAGCTGAGAAATATCCTGTATCAATGTGCAGACTCCTTTAAGTATTTAAATAGCCATATGGAAATTTCCAAACAAAATAAGAAGGGTAAATACATATGCACCTACTGGACAGTTGTGCTTTTTCACAGCTGTTGACACAGAACTTGGTAATTAAGCATGTACAGGAGGACACTACAGAGGAAATGACATAATTCACATGAAACAGAACATATTTTCCTTAAGGATGGTAATATCTGGGTTGTTCTGTTTCATGTCTTGGGTTACATAAAGCTTTTTGATCTTTACAAAATATTTGTTCTTTAAATGCCTTATAAGAACATTTCAGAAGTGTCTTAAAAGAGGGAGCCTGTGCTAGACAAGTGACTCTTGTTTAAAAGTAATTCTTGTATTGCTTCCAGAAGGAACTTGAGAGTGGTTTAGAAATTAAACCAGAGCCAGGAGATTTTCTATCCTCAAAACTTATTTTGAGCTATATTCTAAATTCAGAACCCACACTGTTCAACTGGATTCCAAATCTGGCAAAAAAGAGATCTATCACCCCTCTAGTTCTGACTGTGTTTATTAATGGCTTTATGATACTTGAAAAAGGAGGTGCTTTTTCAGCTTATGGACATTTCCAAGACACACATTACAATCTGATTTCTTCTTTGCTCAAATTTCCTAGGTCTCCTTTCTATGTACCATGAAATATTGCCATACACCATTTAGAAGCACATGCTTTCTCCCTAAAAAGGGCCAGTCTCCATTATTACTGCAGTTGCTGAAGTAGATAAAGTCTTTCTGGTCTTTCCCAAGGATATAAATATGTTAAAGAACTCAACATTTAGCAGATATGTTAGTTACATTTATTTGGCCATTAGCAGTTGGAAAAGTTAAAATTTGAAAGATAAGCCCTAGTATAAAATGGTGATCCTGAAAATGCAGCTAAGAAGCTCAATGAATACTACAACTGGAAGTACTAAAAAACTCAGACATAGGATATGACCCAAAGTAGATTTCCATATCCTGTTGATCATATACATAATTACTTTTTTTTTTTTTTTACAAGAACAGATGACAGGAATTAGAAACAGGTTATAGAAGACATCAGGACAGAAGATGTTTGTATTTTTTTCATGACATTTCTAATATAAGTACAAGATGAGTTTAAGCAATAAATGAAATAATCTGGAAGTAGTCACATGCAGGATTCTAAAAATAATTGTTGCAGGAGTGTGTTCAAGGCTTTTGCCAGCTTCCTTAGCTCAGAATGAACACTCCTTCAAGGAAGGTTCTCTTCTCCTGTTTTTATTTGTAAAATCAGTTTTTCACATTGTGTATTAGGATAGCAGGAAAGCAAAGTTTAAGGACTCACTCCTGCAAGCCTGCTCACACAGACCCTGGGCTGGAACAACTTTGACAAAAGTTCTGCAAGGCAATTCCAGTTACAGAGCATATGCCAAATTAATGTTCCAGTATATTTGGACTTTACATAAAGACTTCCCTGATATGTTCCAGTAGAACTAAAAGCAAACAGATTTATAAATGCAAATGTTTAGATTATTAAGTTCAGATTGTCACGCAAGCTCAGTAATAAGTATACATTTTTCAAAAGTGTTTATAAATTTAAGTCACCTTACCTCATTTTGTGTTTGAAGGGACAGACTTTGCTGGAAAGACAAGACTTTAAGAACTAAAGAGGTGAATGTGTACTCTTCTACAGGTGGAAATACATGTTTATCAATAACCCAGAAATTTACATTATGAAATTTAAATGAAAATTTATTATTTCTGGCAAGCAAGATGCATTTTTCTGTCCTGCCTGTGTTTGCTAGGATCTAAGCTTCGTTAATGCACAAAACTTTGTTTTTCTTTGGCACCTAAATGTAAACATGAAAAGACCATTAGATCTGTCGCTTTACTATTAAGTCAAGTACAGTTTTATGATGACCAATTTGTACCTGGCAATGATGCAAACATCCATGCCTCATCTGTTCCATCAGTTTTAAGACTGATGAATTAAGGTGAAAATGTCTAAAAGCAGGACTATTTGATGAAAAAAGACATAAAACACACCTACAACAGGCCTGGGTTATATTTTAGTGTTCTGAAACAGCAAAATAGAAAATCCTTGAGAGACTTACATTGTTGGAGGGAATTCTGAGGCTCAAGATCATGCCTGAGGTTTTCCGGAATAAATATGGGAAAGATTCTCCAAAGCACATTATGGTGTTAAGATGGCAGCTATGTCTGTCCTTCCTCTTAAGTACTTCTTCTCTGGAGCAGCTTTTGGGCACCACTTGTAGTCCAAGGTGCTTTGCAGATCACCTGTGAGCAGTCTGTTCAGACTTCCCAACAGCATGCTAACATGCTGGCTGCATACAAGGTCCTACATGAACAAAAGGAATAGCAGGTAAGACCAGTCTTGCTACCACTTCTTGGACCACTCTGTGGTGGCAAGAGCCTTTCACCTGCTGGGCGACTTGTCTGCTTAATTCTCAATACACCTTTATGAAAATTATCACTTATAAGAAACATTATTCAAAGCTATAGCCCAAGTTATACTGAATATGCAAACATTTACTGAACATGCAAACCAATATCTATTCACAGTCTGTCTTCGTGGGACAAAGGCCCATAAGAAGTGCTACCTTGTGTCAGAAAGCACCAAACATTTTCATGAAGCCAATGAAGACTGCATAGCCAAGGGAGGGACACTGGCTATCCCACGGAATAATGATGAAACAAGCACTCTTCGAGATTATGGCAAGAAAAGTATGCCTAGGGTGTCTGAGTTTTGGTTGGGTATCAATGACTTGATAAATGAAGGGAAATTTGTTGATGTCAATGGCATGGTTCTACAGTACTTCAACTGGGATCGTGCCCAACCAAATGGGGGGAAGCGTGAAAACTGTGTATTTTTTTCCCAGTCATCACAAGGCAAGTGGGTGGACGAAGTCTGCCGTACTGCCAAGAGATATATTTGTGAATTTCTGATCCCCTAATTACATTTACAAATGACCATGACCACATTTTGGGTTATTAACATGCAGTTTTGCTTGTGAGCATCCCCTCCCACTTTGACATTGGAGAGTTAAAAATATCCATCCTCTGCATTGTATTCATGCTTTCCTGAGGCAGAAGTTCTCTCTATTAATTTATTTTCTATTCAGATGCTAAAAATGTAATTTTTAGTGAGTGCTCTCTTTGTGTACAAGAACATATATTGAGTTTTGACCTGCATTATATCATATTTTGGTATATTATTTCAGCCTGATGTTCCAGTTCCTAGCATTCACCTCCTATTTCTATACTTTTTACCTCCATGGTAGGTTAGCATTTGCTTGAACTCCACACTCCAGTGAATTTATTGAAAGTTTGCAAAAGATTACTGCATGGTGACATGTGCCAGTATGGGGTGTAAGGATCCTTTCAGTTCTAGTGTTTAAGAAGGACCTTGGGATTATGTGAGCTCCTGGAAAAAAATTGTCATTATCCTCATGGAGTTTAAAAGAATGGATCTGTGATCAAGAGGATTTTTACTCATGGGTTAAAAAAGCCCAATTAGAAAGAAAAATCTGATGTTAATTTTTAAACTACATGTAGTTAAAAGTGATACACTGGTAGAAAATGGGAGAAGTGCCTGCTCTAAAACACCAGTTAGTCTAAACATACTTGCTTTTAAATGTCTCAATTATGGTTAAATATTAGATGTCATTTGGAAAATTCTCATCGAAGAAACCAATGTGCCACTAGATCCCACCTCCACTGAGCAATGCCTTAAGATCTGCATAAGCCTTCTCTCCTTCAGGATCAGAAGAAGGCATTGTAATACACACATTAACAGTGCCTGAAAGCACAAGTAGGGAGGAAGGATCCTGTTTCTGGGCATGATAGCGCTCATTCACCTCCATTTACGTGGCAAGCAGCACACTCATTTGGCACAAAAAAAAAGTGAGACCAAACTGTAACTCATCTGACCACATACAAATTTTCCCGATTTAACACCCAATTTTTGAAAATGAAGTAAAATGTGTTAGTTATTCTTTGCTGTTCTTAACCTCACAATAGTGACTTGCCTTCATGTTATAAATAGCAGTTTCTTTCTTGTGTAAAGGAATTTCATTTCAATATTTAACTATATTGATGCTCGGAGGCTAATTTCTACATTAACCTCTTTTAGTTGCACAAGATTTTCTTAAATTATTCAATAAATTTTTGATTACTGGTATTTAATTGTAGTGGTATTTTTGGCAGCTTGTGCATCCACGTGAAGGCCATTCCTGCCTAGGACTTGAGGATTCAAAAGAGGCACCATCTTTGGGCACATTATGCTATACTTCTTTTTTTAGTGTACCTACGTGTCACAGGACAAAATTTGGATCCTTGCTTGCCTAACAGCTGTATGAAATGCAACTCTTCAATGTACCACTGTCGTGTTATCTATAATTTCATTGTCCTACACTTAATGTATTTGTAAAACAGGCTTGATTCTGAATTCTCTCACTTAGCTTGGAGTTTAAACAAAGGAGCAGAAAGTCCTTCTTAAAAATTCTCCCAACCTTTGCTAAGGTTGGGATCAATATTCATTTTACCTACATTTTAACATGATTGAAAGTCTGCAGTGACTTTGTATGGCTCATTTACCTCTGGCTTGTCTGACATGTCAGTATGCCAGCATATCCGTACAGCTGAGTCAGATTGAACATTCACCCCGAATTCCAGAACTTATTTACCTTTGAGGAGTTTATAAATTTATAAACTTTAAAATGTATAAAAAATGTGAAAAATTTATATTAAAAAAGTTTATAAATTTATAAAACCTATTCAATCTATTTCAGCCAAGCATTTTAAGTTGTAGTCAGGAATGGATAATGTTTGTAGATACTATTGATGGATGCAAATACCAGAGACAGAAATAACTATTTGTTTAGTAGTTATTTACTGCACAAAGGCAAAACTCAGTGAAATTGGTAATAAATTTGAAGATTCCAAGCTGAATTCTTAGTTAAGAAATAACAAATGAACATAAACTGAACAGGAAAAATGGAGTGAAACTCAGGTGGGTAGAGTTGAGAGGAGATGGTAGGAGGATAAAGAACTCCACAAATGCCTGCAATGGGGGCAAGACAGAGAGAAAACAAAGTAGAAAGATCAGGGAGACAAGCTTTGTCCCATAAAATTAACTGCCCTTATCTTCCCTCTCAATGACTGAATGTACCTGTGTGAAGTGAGCTCAGAGTGAGGGGGAGTAATTCCTGCCTGATGGGTCTTCTCTGCCCTGCTGCTGCATCAGTTCTCCCCAGACCTTTACTCATTACCTTTCTTCTCTTCTGTTATGTGGTGTTGCCCACCTTTTCCATTCAAGCAGAACAGGCTCCCTTCTCTGCATCACTCTTCTGCAATTAGTTTCTGAAATCCCCTGCTATCTCCCAGTGACATTTTCCCTTCAAATTCCAACTCTGGCCTCTTTATCTCTGCAAAATGCACAAAAAAACTGAACCGGGGACCCCTGCTCTGCAGTACATGCAACTCGTAAAAGAGATAGAGAAGCCAGAGTTTCGCATTCCCCTAGAGCACTCTTCTCTGAAGACTGGTACTGTGTCATGGAGTGGGCAGTCACTTAGCGATTTCTCATCTGCACACTGGGTAGTCATCACAGTTCAGCGGGAGATTGCTTGGGTGACTGTGAATACGAGACACATGACAGCAGCTTTTGCGCTCATGACAGCAGTACCAACAGCGAATCAAGCTCCAACACTCCCACCTAGTGGTTCAATAGGAGAATGCATAGTTGAAGCGACTTAAATGTGGTTACTGTAACAAACACTGTTTCTAGTTGCTCGCTAACGGAAAAATATCCAATGTAACACGTCCAAACACATGCAGTATCTTTGACAGAAAATAGAAAATGTCATTTTTTGAAATACTTCATACTGATTTTCAAGTGCTTATCATTCCCTCTGCCTTTGTCTCACGCCAAGGGAGATCCCGTTTTTCTACCTTCCTGCCCTAAAGGAAGACAAAGCTGGCTGTGGGTAACTGCCCGCAGTGAGCTCCCTCCCTAGCCTTTAAAACCTGACTAAAAAAAAAAAAAAAAAAAAAAAAAGATGTTCACAGGCAGATTACCACATAGGGGTGGCACAGGATTAGGTTGCTATTCTCTGCTCCATCCCCAGGCAACTCTTCTCTTATTAGAGCAGGGGGCTATCCCTTTTAGCATTCATCTTTCTCTGCTTCTGCCTCACTATGTGTTTTGGCAGCAATTTATTTCTAGCAGAAGAGCTGGTAGTTACATGAGGTTGTCAGAAGGAGGAACTCTTTCATCTTGTTCATTAAACATGATGCACACCCAGTAACGTTTGTTATGGCTCAGCTGTGCTACATTTCACAGCAGTTTCAACAACACAGCTCCATTTCTTCCTCTCTCTTTTTGCCCACCTCAGCCTTGTGTATATTGAACCAGGCCAGTCTTCCTCCTAATAAGCTTACTGACACTGCCCAACAGCAAGGGGAGTCAGAGGTGGAATAAAGACTGCCAGCAACAACATCCAGCTGAGAGCTTAGCTGTACTACAGAGTTACCCTTATTAATAACTGAAGGACAAGCTCTGATATTAGCCAAAAGGTGCTCAGGAGCATTTCACAAGCTTTTCAAACTGTACAGCAGAACCCAGGCTTGCTGATGTGTCCCTGATCTTCATAAGAGAGCTTAAGGGGGAGTATAAAGCTCAACATAGAGCATTTTAGAGCGAAAGGAAGTTACAGTTCAAAGCTAAGCCCAGAGGTGGCCTTACACACAAGAATGTATGCACAGTGCTTTTAGTTACTGTTATTTTCAGCTTTCTCTCTTACTCCTTCCATTTATTTTTCTCCTGGTGTTCTTTTCTGTAGCCTTCATGCATACACATTAACCCCCTGTGAAGGGCAATTTTCTGGGAGCACAAAAGTTTGCTTCCATAGCTAGGTCTAGAATTTAAAATACTTTGAAGACGTGTTATTGAGTACTCACCTTACTACCAGTGCAAAATTCAACCCTCTTAAACTCCTCCCTTCCACCAGCAATGCCCTAGTACCTTGTGGGACACTCAGTATTTCCAAGGCATTGTTGTTGTCCTGGTAAGCTCAGACCAGCTATAAGGTCACCTGTTGATATGTCACAGGGGCACATGATTTGCCTGAATCATACAATGCAACTGCCTAAATCTGAAAGACAGAAATTGCTTTTGTGAATAACATGAAACAACAACAGAGAGCCTTAGCTTTGAAGGGCAAGGGGAATTCCTTTGTAGAGGCTCTGCTCATATTTAAGCTCAGCCCAAGCTTACTGACATACATCAAGCACCCATCCCAACTTGAATGCTTGGGTTTCAGTGGAAAGTTCTCAGCTGCGCTTGAGGCAAAGGTATTCTGATGGGTTAATGTGTACTGTGGATTTTGGCAGCAAAAGCTTTAAAAATGGAAAATAATCAAATGTTAGAAATCCATTAAAATGTTGGAAAATAGTTTCAAAATTCTGCTTTCCTTGTCTTAATTTCCAATTTGATGCATCTTCTGGGATTAAGCCAGCTTTATACAGCACAAAGATGTCTGTGCTATTGAGAAAGCTATGTTCCTTTCACTTGTATTTATAGAAGTCCTCTCAGACTAGACTCCAAGATAAGGGTTTGGAGGATGTAATTCCAAATAGAATTTCTGCATCCAGCTGCAAGCGTCTTTCTGTGCTCAGTAGATGAGGCATATGTGTAGCTAGGTGAGATCAAAGCCTTCAGTAAGAGCTGCATTAGCCCCTTGGAAGGAGAAGGTACCTACTCAGCACAGGATACAGATGGGGTTACATGCAGAGTCATGACCTGCTTATGAAAAGCCTGTTTACTTGCATCACACACATGTAGTTTCCTGCCTTGAAACCTGAGGAGAAATGTGCTATGCAGAACAAAAGTACTGTAGGGGTTTTGCTCTGCCTCATTTGAACTGTATGAGAATTTTCTTATTAGTACAAGCCTTGACCCTCCAGCTTTGGAAAGAGGCAAACAATCTGCTTCAAGGAGTCCTAAATCCTCATCTCAGCTACCAACACATGAAAAAGGAGTAACTGCTGTGAATCAGACTAGCCTTACTGGTGACCAATTAGCTTGCAGATATACTGTTGAAAACATGAGCTGTTTCCACTCTGCTTTCATGCTTTCCTCATGACTCTGGCAGCACCCACAAACCACTCAACGGCATCTCCCAGGGCATGGGGGTAGCAGTG